AAAGCACACTACGCATACGGGTCCAAAGTCAGTTCATTATTACACTTGTACGACATGTTGTTCAGATATCACTTCATTGTAATCGTTGTAGTAAACGGACATGTCATCAGAGAGGAAATTGTGTAGCCCTACTTGAATTTCGGTGTGCGCTGAAAATAAATTTTGGTGTTATTTCGTGGTCTCAAGGAGTCTAAGTGGTAAAAATAGCAAAGCGTTGGGTCTTAAATGTATTCTCCACTAGCACCAGACCTTTCTAACTTATTTATTTTGATAGTGGCATCCTCATCAATTTCCCTATATTTAATTTAAAGTCTATGTCAACTTTGCAAAGCTCAATTATTTTTATAGTGATCTTTTTAGCTCTCACAAAACTTTTTCGCAACTAATAGCTCGAGCAGTCACCACATTCCTCCCTTCCGTACTTACCACCCGTATCAAAGCAAATTTGTCAAAAGTAATGCCCGTGGTTGCCAAGCGGAAATCGTTGTTCTCTTTTGTTTCATTTCACCATTGTTTATTTGTATACACGATTTTTCACACATTTAGATTTTTAGTTAAAATTTTTGATACTGTAAAAAGCCCAAAACTATAATCCAACTATTAAAAATGCTGTACCTATTTATAAATAAATGTATTCGGCTGTGATTTAAGTTATTTTAATATCTCAAATATATTCATGTTTATTTTTTTAATTACAACAAAATATCGAGACTGGCAACACTGCGTTGCAAGAGATTATTCTCTCACTCTCAGCTCACTTTTTCTACACGAAAAATCCAAATTTTGCGAATATCCTACCGTACGTGCGATTGCGCTCACCTGTTTCGGTCCAGGTTTTGCGTTGGTGACTGTTTGAACCAGGGATAATTAGATCCCAACTCTTTCTAGTGTGAAGCGCCTCAAAACTAGCGTTTTATATAGGATCCACTGTAGCCAGATTGGCCAAAATAAAATTTTCATTCATCATTTAAATTATAATACCAAACATTTAATAAGATTAAATATTAGTAAACATGTATCCGTTAATATATAGAAAAACTATTTAAATTCATTTTTGTGATTTCATGATATATTAAAGCAACTGATTTTTGAACTTCAATACTTGAAGAGTAAAAAAATTTATAAACTCTCAATTGATAAATGTTTTTTTTATCATTTTCAATTGAAAATTAATACTACGAAGCATGTATCCGTTAAATATATAAGAAAACTATTTAAATTCATTTTTGTGATTTCATGATATATTAAAGCAACTGATTTTTGAACTCAATACTTGAAGAGTAAAAAATTTATAAACTCTCAATTGATAAATGGGTCCTCAATTATGCAGCCGCAATATGGTCGCCTGGATGCAGTGACACGCAGAATAAGAAGCTTCAGACTTGTCAGAACACTGCACTCCGGACTATCACGGGGTGCCTCTTGATGTCCCCAATCGAACACCTACATAGCGAGGCCCGTATGCTTCCGGTTAAGGAACATAATGAGCTCCTCTCCAAGCAGTTTCTGCTGGGATGTTTTCGCAGAAACCACCCCTGCAGACGCCTGCTTACAGCGGAGCAGCCTCCTAGGAACATCAAGAGGTCCTTCCTTGACTACGTCGACGACATCAGACAGCACGTCGACCAGACTTCGGACGCAACTAACTTCAGACAAGCACTGACCGCCATCCACAGTGGAGCCATTAACACCTTCACCGACTCCCTTTCAGTGAATGGCGTAATACGAGTCAAACCACCACCCATTGCAGACACAGAGCTCGAGTTGCCTCGCGAATCTAGAGTGACCCTCGCGCAACTTCGTTCTGGATACTATAGCAGGTTAAACTCCTACCTATCCAGAATAGACCCTGACATACCAAACACATGTCCTGCATGCAATGAGTCTCCGCATGACACTAACCACCTCTTTGCATGCCAAACAAACCCCACTCATCTAACACCCCTCTCCCTATGGACCGACCCCGTCGAAACAGCTCGTTTCCTGGGCTTTCCGTTAGATGACCTCGACGACAACGAATCTAGAGTTTATCACCAAAACGGGGATTAGATAATCGTTACAACACCAACAACAAAATTTGATATAATAATACATATAGAGTAAAAATATAGCAAATCAGCATCATGACCCATTTGTGAAATTATCAGATGCAATAAAATATACGTTGAAGTCATAAAACCTTTTTATTTTATTAAAATTGGAAAATTTAGTTCAAAATATTTTGTATAGGTAATTGGGTTTTCTATTTATTTTGATTTCTTTCATTCGTTTGGATATGGCAACAGTTATTATCTGATAACATGGAACCCATTTTTTATTGTTCATATAACGAAAATTGTGTAAAAATAAAATTCTTATTTTAAGCAAATATTTAAATATTTAATATAAAATAAATATGTAGAAACATTGTAGTAAAGTGTTAGTGTATAATATAAAAGAAAAGTTAACCATAAATCGAAAAATTGTGAAATAAAATTTCTGAAATTTTCAACCTAAAATGCAAATATCTCGAAAACATTAAGTTTCCGGCGGCAATAATAATATATATTTTCGCGAATCTCCTCTATCGAACCATACCCCTCTTAACCCTATGCATTAAAAATAAAAAATTTTTTGAAGCCTCCTTAGTTGGGGACCTAAAGTATACATTTACCAATAAATATGTAGAAATGTAGTGAAGTGTAACTGTATAAGTGCAAAAGAAAAGTAAACTATGAATTGAGAAATTGCTACAATAGCGTAAAACATTCAGTACCTCACATAATACCAATAATATTAGAAGTGCCCTGTCGATGCTTATACGTAGCAGCAATTATAAAATTATTTGAATAATATCATATCTTTGACATAACCACCTACCCCTTTTTCCGGCTTTACATTATTTTCATCAGTTCCCAAATCAGCAAACCTTGGTTTAATATGATTTCCATACTCGATGTTGCTTTTTATTTCACTATTTTTATATTCGTTGATAACAGATTTAATGTCATTATTTGCATACGGAGGAATGGCTTCCCTATTTATTTGGACTGGACAAAAATTGAAAATAATTTTTTTAAAATTTTAGATACTGTCACATATTCATACACTTTGAAAAACGGCGTCTATCGTTTTCTAGATTTTTGCGCTCAGAGAGCAAAAATTCATCCATTATAATTGATTTCGCTTGATATCACCAACCATTGTATAAATCTAAATAACCAATCCTAATACCATGTTCGCACCGTCACAAAATTAGTGTTTTCGTAGACAAAAGAGGCTTTCACGCGAAAAGTTTTGTTATCATCCATACAAAATCTGTCAAACGAAAACACAGCTTTCGCTGAAAACCCCTTGAAAACTTACATTCCACTCATTATAATCGGTGCCTGCTCTAGTTTAATCGACGCATATTTTACAATTAAAGCTAACTCCTAAGCTTGGATAAAATGATCGGAAACTCTTTGATTCGAGAGAGCGCTGTCAAAGTCCACATTTTTTATAACATTTGACAGTAGTGCCACTAAGAAAAGAAATAAGTTTTGAAATTTTTTAATGTATTTCTTGGGTATTTTTCGATTTCCATTTTACAGAAAAATATACATAATTACAATTAGTTTAACAAGCTAGATATCCTATTCTATCTAATTATATATACATATATATTTTAATCACAAAAGATTTTCAAAATTAACGTTTAAAACTAAATTTAACAAAATAATTTAATATTTCACACTATAAATAAATATCTTTTAATAATTTATTCGGAAGTCAAAGTTTACATAACATTTGCTGGGAATTCTAACCAAATTAAGTATATAAAAGTCAACAAAAAATCTGATATCACAAATTACCCACTGATTTCGCAATTTATTTCTCGGGATTCTTAGTGGTAGTTCATTGTTTGCTTGTCATCTGTCTAGTAGCTCATGAACTCGTGGTTTTTTTGGCAGCACTGAAAGTTCATGAGCTCTCTCATAAGGCAAAGAGAGGAGTTTCGGATCATTTTATCCATGCTCCTAAGTCGCTTTTACATTGGGACTCAAAGAGTCTCATTTTTCAAATTTTTGGTGTCGCTCTGTGCATTCACACGAGCAAAAGAGTCCAGCAACTCGAGTCTAGTTTTCTGCATTCCTTTCACAAAATTTTCGAATATTTGTGCAGTTCGACTGCGTAACACCTAGAGCGTGTTGTATATTTCATTTGTATTAGGAGTGGTCCCACATTTTGCTTGCAATGAATTAGCATGAATGTGAACAATATGCATAATAATCCGCTACTAATATTTTCAAGGCCAAATTTATAACAGGATTTCCTAATCTTTAAGTATTAAAATTTCATATTCTTTACTCCATAATCTATATCTTAATTTCTCCTTATTTACAATTTTTCAAATATTTCTATTGTTCTATGCATACATATTTGCATATTACATACAAAATAGATAACAGAATTAAAATTTTGAACGAATGCATTTGTAACGAGTCTCTTGCAACCATTCAAAGCATTTGAAAGTGAAAAGGAATGCTGAAAGGGGTAGCAGCGAGCTGTTACGAACAAGCAACAATAAATTGGTTTGAGACTCTTTTGAGTCCCAATATAAAAGCGCACTAACAAAACATAAAGCGGATATACACTCGCAGACATATCGGTGCTACATGTCAAGTATTGCCTACCGTCGCATCGTGTATAGGCGTGTATGTATACCAAACTCTAAGTCTGATACAAGTATGAAAAATTGAAATTCCTAAATTTTTCTGCTCACTGGTGCGATGGATAGCAAAGTGTTAGTGTGACATGCAGACGATCTCTATTCTTGCTTCAATTTGTAGTGGAAAGTTGTCAGATGACATGATGCGAGACTCACTCATTTTCGCTGATTTTTGTTATCTTTCCCTGATTATTAAGATTAAGGAAATATGAACAACTGATATCAAAAAGGGGATGCAGAAATAAACCCGCTAAAATAGCTAACAAAATCAGTGGAATCAAATTTCAAAGAACGTGCAACTAATTTAATTTCAACCGTTAATCATACAACCATTATATTTTATTATGACTTATTGTTCTTTGTTATACTTTTTATTTATGTAAAATTTTATGTGTATGATGTTTTAAAATTTTATAATATAAATACACGAATTAAGATATGTATATGCGTTATATAGGCCTATTCGGGTACGAGCACCTAAATAATAACGAAATGCAAAATACCCAAAAGTTATTTTGAAATAATGACCTTTTTCTTTCGAAGTGGTATGATTGACAAATTTTATAAAACATGGGTTTTGACAGCTCTTCTCTCTGATCAAAGAGTTTTGCATCATTTCATCCTGAAGTTGTGTAATAGGCAGTTACTGAAAACGAACGTTTGCGGAAATTTATTAAGACTTCATAATTCAAACAAAGATAAAGAGATGCCAACTTATCTCTCACTGGAAATGAGAGCGCAATTGTAAACGTAAAATCTCCTGAGCTCAGGCAACTGTCAAAGTTCAGGAGGTCTGACGTGTAGCTATTGGAAAAGGGGATCGGCCAGACTAAAACCTTACAGAAAATATGTGAACAGAGAGATTTGTTGCCTTGTCGAATATCCCTAACAAAAATTGGAAAAACAATAAAAAAATAAAACGCAAAATTGATATGTATGTGATGAAATCTTTTGTGAGGTCATGCTTCGTAGTATTAATTTTCAATTGAAAATGATAAAAAAAACATTTATCAATTGAGAGTTTATAAATTTTTTTACTCTTCAAGTATTGAAGTTCAAAAATCAGTTGCTTTAATATATCATGAAATCACAAAATGAATTTAAATAGTTTTCTTATATATTTAACGGATACATGTTTGTAGTATTAATTTTCAATTGAAATGATAAAAACATTTATCAATTGAGAGTTTATAAATTTTTTTACTCTTCAAGTATTGAAGTTCAAAAATCAGTTGCTTTAATATATCATGAAATCACAAAAATGAATTTAAATAGTTTTCTTATATATTTAACGGATACATGTTTACTAATATTTAATCTTATTAAATGTTTGGTATTATAATTTAAATGATGAATGAAAAATTTTTATTTTGGCCAATCTGGCTACAGTGGATCCTATATAAAACGCTAGTTTTGAGGCGCTCTCACACTAGAAAGAGTTGGGCATCTAATTATCCCTGGTTCAAACAGTCACCAACGCAAAACCGTGGACCGAAACAGGTGAGCGCAATCGCACCGTACGGTAGGATATTCGCAAAATTTGGATTTTTCGTGTAGAAACAAGTGAGCTGAGAGTGAGAGAATAATCTCTTGCAACGCAGTGTTGCCAGTCTCGATATTTTGTTGTAATTAAAAAATAAACATGAATATATTTGAGATATTAAAATAACTTAAATCACAGCCGAATACATTTATTTATAAATAGGTACAGCATTTTTAATAGTTGGATTATAGTTTTGGGCTTTTACAGTATCAAAAATTTTAACTAAAAATCTAAATGTGTGAAAAATCGTGTATACAAATAGAACAATGGTGAAATGAAAACAAAAGAGAACAACCGATTTCCGCTTGGCAACCACGGGCATTACTTTTGACAAATTTGCTTTGATACGGGTGGTAAGTACGGAAGGGAGGAATGTTGGTGACTGCTCGAGCTATTAGTTGCGAAAAAGTTTTGTGAGAGCTAAAAAAGATCACTATAAAAATAAGTTGAAGCGTTTGCAAAGTTGACATAGACTTTAAATTAAATATAGGGAAATTGATGAGGATGCCACTATCAAAATAAATAAGTTAGAAAGGTCTGGTGCTAGTGGAGATGACATTTAAGACCCAACGCTTTGCTATTTTTACCACTTAGACTCCTTAGAGACCACGAAATAACACCAAAATTTATTTTCAGCGCACACCGAAATTCTAAGTAGGGCTACAATTTCCTCTTCTGATGACATGTCCGTTTACTACAACGATTACAATGAAGTGATATCTGAACAACATGTCGTACAAGTGTATAATGAACTGACTTGCGACCCGTATGCGTAGTGTGCTTTTACATTGGGACTCTTTTGGCCCTCATTATTTGCAAATTCTCTTTTGGTGTCGCTCTGTGCATTCACACGAGCCAAAAGAGTCCAGCAACTTAAATCGAGCTTTTCTGTCATTCCTTTTCATAAAATTTTCTAAAATATTTGTGCGGTTCAACTACGCAACACTTAGAGCGTGTTGCATGTATCATTTGTATGTTGGGATGATGGTCTCACATTTTGCTTGCAATGAATAATTACCATGAATATGGTAGAACAATATTCATAAAACCTACCCGCTTAATAGTTTCAAAAAGATACTTAAGACGGGAATTCCCTAAACCACCAGAATGTATTGAATATCCGCTACTAATATTTCCAAAGGCAAATTTATAACAGGAATTTCCTAATCTTTAAGTATTAAAATTTCATAATTTCTTTATTCCATTTTTTTGTCTATTTATTATAAAACATCTTTGAATTAATTACAATTCTCATTTTAAATAAAATAATATTCGAACTTATAGCTTTGCGGTTAAAAGAAATAAATATGAAAGCATAATTATATTTTATGTTAATATAAAAAAGTAAAGCTACCATTTTTACTAGAATTATTTTATGTATACTGGTATATTATAACATTTAATACCGCTATATGTTATTAAAAATGTAAATTGAATATTTGTTGAGTATCTTAATTTTCTCCTAATTTACAATTTTTCAAAATATTTTTATTATTCTATGCATAAATATTTGCATATTATATATAAAAAATTGATAACAGAATTCAAATTTACGAACAAATTCATTTGAAACGGAGCGCTCTTGCAACCGTTCAAAGAATTTGAAAGTGAAAAGGAATGCTGAAAAGGGTAGCAGCGAGCTGTTACGAACAAGAACACAAAGCGTGCCACCCATACAAGTCTGCATATAACTCATAATCGGCAAATTCTTTTTTGGTGTCGCTCTGTGCGTTTACACGAGCAAAGAGAATCCCGCAACTCGAAGCGCGTTTTCCTGCTATTGCTTTTCATAAAATTGTTTCAAATGTTTGTGCGGTTCCGCTACGCGACGCTTTGAGTGTCTTGCATATTTCATTTGTATGTTGGGATGGTGGTCTCACATTTTGCTTGCTGTCGGGGTACTCGACGTTGAGTTTGCCGGTGTGCCAAATAAAATAAAATGTTAATTTAATTTCGACAAAATGTGACTTTAATTACTGATAATCCCGCGTAGATTCCTAAGTGGTGCTGCTGTTGTTGTTGTTGTGTTGCTGGGGCGATCTTATTTTCGCGCCTTTTTGTGTCCGTCCGCTGGTATTTGCTCTCTTATCGGCTGATTAATTCCAATTGGAATTTATGAGCGATGTTGGTGCTGTTGAGCCTTTTGCATTGTCCTCTAATTCGTATTTATACGAGTTAGGAGAACAATGCAGGGATGTGT